AGGTCAGGATGATTCAATGGAAGAGTTTTCTGCCTTATTTCAGTTGTTTTCTCATAATAGGAGAGCGCTTTTGGATAGTCTCCCATATTATCGTACGCTAAACCAATATTGTTATAAGTAGTAGCGAACTCTGGATGACCAGATGGAAGAGTATTCTGTTGAATTTCAAGTGTCTTTTCATAAAACGACAGTGCTTTCGAATACTGTCCCATTTTGTTGTACACTAAACCAAGATTATTATAGGTGGTTGCCAAATCTGGATGATTTGATAAAGAAGATCTGCAACTAATTTGAAGCGTTTTTTCCAAAAACGACAGTGCTTTTTCTAGATAGCCTTTCTCAATAAGAATGTTTCCAAGTTGATTGTAAATATAAACAAGTTCATTTGAATCATCGTTGGGTAACATTTCGAGTAGTGTATTGAAAGTATCCTCAGCTTTGTCGAACTGTCCCATCTTAAACAATAAGTTGCCGAGACGATGCAACGCATTAGGATCTTGTATTTCTTCGCGAATACGATTGGTAAGATGCTCGAGCTGAGTATCGGTGTTATTTGTCATAATCATCTTCACATTCCACAAACCATTGTCAATTTCTTCAATTTCACGTATGCGAAAAACGGTATGCATTGAAAAAAGAATTTCATCCTCGCAGTGTGAACAATCATTGACAATTTTCAATGGAGCAAAAGGAGTTTTTGAGACAGAAGGATCGATTTCCATATCAAAGAGTATTCCTGTCAAATGTGAATCATCTTGAGCACTATTGGCGAATCCCAACGCGACTTTTCGATCAATAGTTGTAGACAAAAAGTTGTTGAATGACAAAAGACCTCCCGTACTTTTCTTCATTTTTTCAAATTCATCATTTGACATGCTTTGTCCTCGGTATACGATCAATGTTTCGATTTTATTTACTGTCGAGTAGACTTGTTCGATGTGTTGATGAAGATCTTTCAAGTAAAATCGCATTTTAATAATACTAGTAACGTCTTGTGTTCTTAATGCTTTATTGAGTATCGAGTAAATAAATGGCCTGTTTATGTACCACCAAATAGGCGAATGCTGGTTATAATTCTTTTCCATTTCATCGATTCTACTCAAATCAACTTGATAACCTAAATTTTGATCACGAAGCAATTTGAAAAAGTTAGCTTTTGCTTTTTCATCATAATTCATTTCAAGAAGAATCTCTTTTAATAGTACAGAATACATAAATGATTGATCAAGTTCATCTAAATCAAGAACAGAACCGAACGAGAATATATGGGTTGATATTAAATCTTGCTCATATTGTCGAAACTTTTGTTGAAGTTGAGTAAAAATCACTGAGATATCAGCAAACACACCTCTTACTTTTCTCCATTCTGATAATCTTTGTTCCGATTTGATCTCTTCATGATAAAAAATATATATTGAATCGACTTGAGATAAATCATTAATAAGAGGTATAACAGACATAGCGACATTATCTGATAATATAAACAAGAATTTTCCATCCTCAATACTTGTGATAAAGTCAATACATTCATCAATATGAGTAAATAGTTGTACAGCATTAGTAATATGTCGAAGCTGAATAATTAAATCATGATATTTATAGTCAAATTCACTTAAGTTCGGATCCAACCAGATGACAATTAACTTTTGAGATATACAAGATTGCCAATTCTTTAAAGAAATCATGTTATCATTTGATTCTCCCCGTTTATTATCCTGTGTCGTGTTTGCTATTTCAGTAGAGGACGAAATAGATCTTTTGGTTGTTAGTAAATCGGCGATGCTTCCTGAATACAGCCCTACAGCTTCTTGCTCACTTGACGACATCATACCGATTTATTATTGTATTTTGTTTTGTTGACTATAGTGAAAAATTCTGTTTTAAATATCGGCAATCAATATAAATGTATTCTCTTCCTATTTACTGAAAGTATATGACGAGATGTCGTCATCATCACGTGACATTTCTTTTGCGTTTCATTTACTCACTTTGCGTGAGGTTCTCTCTCTTACTAATTTGTGTTTTGCCGTCGTCGCTTCTTGAGTACATATTCACTATTTAATCAGTGACTGGGGAGGGGGTGGCAATAATATCGTTGTGCTTTCGAGGCTTGAGTAATGACACTTCATGAGGGTTAATTACTATGCATACTTCAAGAAAAAAAGTACTCTATTATAATTTGCTCAGAAAAGAATATGGAAGTAACTTTAAAAGGTTTTTACTAGATAAAAAACAATTGACAAACTGATGTAGTCTGATAAATCAACTATTTTTAATTTGTTGCTTGAAGAAACTCACATTGTTTATGGAACTTTCAAACGTCTTGATGGAACACCAAAAAATCCACTACAACACACTAGGTAGCTTCGAGATAATACATTATTAAAATGATTATTAAAAGTCTCATTGAAATATAAACTTCGACAGCATTTTTTTATTGTGATTTTTAGTATTAAAGATACAATAATGCTTTTTTTAATTATTTACCGAATCTGTGTCCAAAATAATTTCGTCGATGACGAGACTTTGCACATAAATATAATATTTTAGAAAAAAAGGTTGAATAAGCACAATATTCAATCAAAATGAATTAAAAAAACAAAATCAGATATTGTACAATATCGCTTTCTACACACTATTCAAGTTCAAAATATTTTTTAGAAGACTAATTGCTATGTCTAAATCAGTTCATCAGTCGAAATTTATCGAATGAAAAACATGCCATGGTGGGAAACTGAGTGAACATATACAAAAATAGTTTTTTCTAGAATTTAACCATTTGAAATAACAATTATATAAATGATTTATCATTTTCTGAAATATTTTGGCAAGAGAAATTCTTTGAAGATATGTTGATTTTTTTTCATGAAGCTTGAATATTAAGAGTACTTGTCAGGTTACATTTAGAGACCTGCACTTAACTTCGAAAATCCTATTGCATTCTATTCTTGTGCGACATTTTTTTTCACTATAGTAACTCCTTGTTAAAAACAACTTTTAATCCAATAGCCAAGTAACACCAAATATAAAAGTACAAAAAAAAAAAAAAAAAAAAAACATCCACACTAGATTAGCTTTTACAACTGATGATTGCGAAAAATAAGTTCAGTACCATTCAATACCTTCGCTTTCGTCATTAGATATATTTTCATCTTCTTTAAGTGCTTTTTTTGACTACTATTTCACTTCACTGTTCTAACGTAATTGAAACTGGATCAAAATTTGATCTTTTTGTTGATGCCTTCTGGCTTTGATGAAATTCTTTCAATAAAACTAAGTTTTTTTAAAGAAACATATGCTGATCAAGGTTTTCATCATCAAAATTTGTTCTGCGCTCGCCGACACTGTTTTTCCATGATACGAAAAAAGCGTTAATCGTAATGTTTGAAGCCGATTTTGCAAAGATTTTTCTAGCAATTGAAAATAAAACTGGAAATAAACCCAGTAGTTTATGCCAAAAATTCAAAACCTCAATATGTTCTTTATCATCATTATTAGCAAAATGAAAATCTTGATTTGATTAGAAAAAAGATTTCAAATTTTTTTCGAATGTCGGAGTCGGAGTTTAAAAAAATGTAACTCTGCAGGTCTCTAGCTACATCTGATTGGGCATGTACGTATTTCAATGATAAGTGCAATAGATATTTTTCCTTGAAGTATGTCAAGTAACCCTATTCAGTCAACTACTTCAGTGTGTTGCACGCTGGCAAATTTTGAAGTTCCATTAAACTCAAGAAACCTAACAGTATTATTAAGTTCTTTTTATTTTTTCTAATCATACGAGATCAATACATAAATATACTCAGCAGGTGACAGCAATATTTTGCTGTCGATTGAAATGCAAATTAATATTAAACACATATTGTGTTATTGAAAACATTTTATCAGTCTGATTGAAATAATAAGTCGTGCAACTGTGAATGATTATCATCTTTTTTTGTTTTGATAGATAAATTATATGATATATTGTTTGCGTTGATTGATAAAATTAATAATTTCGAAATGCTTAACCCTTTGACCGCCGCCGCCTTTTATAAACGTCGGGAGCCTCATCTTTGCGTGAACTAAAGTAATCATTCATAATGTATGGTTTTTTACACACATTTGCGTAAAAACAAACGTTGAGCAGCTTGTGCTTCAAAATCCACCATTTTATTAAGGCACGCTGTAGAATTGTTCCATAAAAAACGAATAAATTTTCTGCAAAACCGTTTCTTCCTTCTCTTATGTCGCCGATCAAAGGGTTAATGTAGTAGAAAATTGAATCATACATGTATCATGCATGATTCGAACTTCAATAAATTCTTATGCAAATAAATATTCCAGCCAATTTGAATAGTTTATTCTCACATAGTACATCCTAATAATCAAATCAGAATATATTGTTGTTTTACTGAAATGTCATTTTATGTATTTTAGTATAACGAAGGATGATATTCTAAGAAAAATCAAAAAAAAAATATTATTCCTATTCAACATTACTTTAATGTTGTTGCTTTTAATCTTATAAACACTAATCTTTTGTTGAAATAATCAAGTAGACGGACTTATACTTCATAATTTCTGCTAAAATAATTTCATAAATTCTTGAAATCTATTCTTGAATATTTGAGTTTAGTGATAATCATTTATACAGAAGAATACGACTTTTCTTTCACAGATCACTATCATTCAAAACTAGGGTACTTTCAATGTCAATTTTAATATATTTATTTCAATCATTGTTCGAGTACTCTTAAGCGTTTAACAACACATCTGTTTGAAATGTTCTTGGTGACATACTTCAAACAGAACATTATTAGTCAAAATCATATGCTTATTTTTTTGTGAATAGTTGTTTTGAATGCTAACGTTACGTCTCCATCCATCTATGACTGTTATTTTGCCATTCGTTGTCTCTCTAATCAATAGAAATACTGATTTTTGGCAAAGAAAAAAAATTTATCGTATTTTCCATCAATATTGTTTTTTGTTTAAGCTCATTTTGCCTGAATTCAAATATGAAATGGAACAATATTATGTTAGTAAAAATAATTTTTACATCGATAATATATGTTTATTCCGATGCATTATTCAATTTGAATGAAAAATTCATAACAACATATGATCGTACTCGTAATCATTTAATATCAATGATAAATCCTTTAATCATTTGTAATGAAGATAACGCTATAATTATACATCGTGGTAAACGATTTGAAGAACAAGTAATACCTAAACTTTATCACGATGTAAAATCCATATCACATATACCATTAAAAATCTATCTAACACTTATGTTTAATCTTGGAAATTTATCTAATGATAATTATATTGAATTAAAACAATATCTGCAAGATATACGTTCTCTTCGAAATTCTTTTCAATTTCCATCACATATACAAAAAACTCAATATGATATTATTGATTTATCAATAGAATATTTACGAGTAATATTAAAAACAAAATTTGTTGATAAAATTCAATTAAAAAAATTTTGTCAACAAGCACGAATTTTATTTTCAATTAATATTGAATTAGCTGCACGTATACATCTTGATATGCTTGATTCAAAAATAAGACCATGGTATCAAAATCATTTTAATGATACTGAACGTAAATCTCTTAAAGTTCTCATTCTGGGATCAAAAACAGCTCGATATGGTTTTCTTGCAAAAGCATATTTTTTTACATTACTTGAAGAACAAGATGAAGGAAAACATATTGTATTTGCTGAAAGTATTGATAATGAACAAAAAGCATTAGAAATATTAGGTGCATGGATTTTAGATGCAGAAGCGAGTAATAATTTTTTTGATGGTGATACTGAACGATTGCATCGCGATGTACTTGCTGATGCAGCCAAAACACACGTGAAACAATTATTTGAAAAATCAAAATGTTCATTATCAGTTTAAATTCATTGAAAGAGTATTAGATAGTTAAGTAGAAAATGTAAAATATTTTTTTATTAACAATTATTTTGTCTAAATAATAATCCAATTTTTTGTGATATGTTTGTTTTTTCTTAACTCAAAAATTATGGTATCACAATGAAAAAAAAAAGCTCGAATTTCAGTATATATTCAATTATCTTATTACATGAAACCATGATGAAATATCTGTTGTCTTTATATGTCATCGAGTAGAAAAAAATATTTCATACATTTGCACTCATACTGAATGATTAAGTAAGCTTCGTAGGATAAATGTCATATATTAAAATAGCAACCTTTATATCATAGTATTGCCTTTCAAACACATTTTTTCATTCATCGAAATGCAAATAGTAATAATCACTATTCACAAGGTCTTCACACAATGGCTCATTAAAAAAAATATCAACCATACATATTTCTATACATAATCCATATTATTAACTAGTCCATATTTTCATTTGTTAAGCATTTCTTCTTCAAAAATCGATCTTGGCTCAGAAATATTCAAATCGTATAGAATTTTCAGAATGTGTTACGGCTGTAGTGAAGAGGCTATGCTAAAATTTCTAGCTCTCCACCATGATATGTTCAAAAGATATTCAGCTAATAAAGGTCACAATTAGCTCATTTGGCAAGTCAAAGTTCTTTGTAGACCTTCATCTCACATACTTAATTGCTTTTTGTTTGAAACAGCATGTCATAACGCAAGGTATGATAGAGATTCTTTCTTAAAGAGAAGAAAAGGAATGGCAGGCTCAATGTTTCGAAAACTCTTCAAAAAATGGCGCTCTAATGATAGAAGTACTCTTTTATATAATAGTATCAAAGCTTATTAATTCAAAAAAATGGCTCTGTCATGTTCTGCGTCTTAACACGGTCTTTCAAACAATAGATTTAGCTATTGGTTACAATGAAGCTCCTTCGAGAAATCTAAAATGTGTGATTAAAACAACATAGACAAAGATAAAGTGCTCGAGAAGAAAATGACGGAATACTGTCGAAAGAACGAACCGTCAAATAAAAAATCATATTATTGATGAAAGATCAGACCTCGGACTATTTTGCCATGTATTTATCTCAATTTTCATGTTTATGACAAATATTAACTTTTTGTAGAAAGAGGAGGTTAAAGGCAAGTAAAACTATACGACACAGAGCTGCAGTTTGTTTATGTCTAGATATTTTTTATTTAGCTCCAATTTAAATAATGACTCAAACTAGTGACAATTTTTCCGTAATCGATATAGTTCATCAAGATTTGGATATAGTGAAGATTTTTATAATTCTTACAGACTATAACTGGGACATGCATTCAAATTTCCATGGCTGTAGACCATAATATGCTATAGATTGTGGTGGGTATGGCTGGTTTTCTCTATGGAGAAGGATATAAGCGGCGTTGATAATTCCAATTATTCTCTTGTATTGTAAAGTATTGTAATTGTATTTATTCAATAAATCGAATAAATCAATCTCTGATAGTTATATATCATTTTAAAGAAATGCAAATCATAGCGAATCAATAAAAAAATATAACAACTAGATTATATCTGTATTTATCTTTGAAAAAAAACAGAAAAAAATATCGATTCATTTTTTTATTTTTTCTTTCTTCGCATTCGAACAACTTTTTCTTGTTGTAAACGTTCAAAATCTTCACTATTCGGATCATCTAATGTACCATTTTCAATAAATTCTTGTTCATTCCATACAGTTTGATGATCACGTAATTTTGGTCGTTGAGCTAATCGTTTTGGTATATGATAATGTTCAAAATCATAACGTTTCTTATATTCTTCCAAAACACGTTCTTCATCATCACGTAAATGTGGATATTTTTGTAAAATCTTGGCAACAATTTTTTTAATACGATTTGTTTCTTGATATTCTTGATGTTCTTGAAATTCATTATAACGTCGTTTAAAAATATTTGTCCATGGCTTAAAATAAATAAATTATTAATAATAAAAATTTCATGAATGTATATAAAAGATACATACACCCGGTTTACGTTTACCCCATAATAATTGATAATAACGATTTTTATAAAAAGGTAATATACGTTCTTTTGGTTGATAATATCGTAGAAGACCAAAACTTGTTTCACTAAAAATACAAAAAACATATAACAATCTATGAATAGATTTTATATTAATCATACCGTATTTGAGGAGTTTGTTCACCAGTTTTGCCTGTTTCTAATAGATTATAAGCAATATCACGTTCTCGTATAACCGACATTATATTACGCATACTTTCTTCAACCTGAATATAAAATCAAATTAGTTTTAACTATTGATCGTTTCTTAGTTATTTGAGTGACCATTCGTACAACGATTATATAAAGGAAACATAGATGTAAAAAGAAAACTTTGGAAACATATCTCGTAGTGAATACTATAAACTATCACTTGATAAGAAAATATTTTGTTTTAAATTGATTCATCTTCGAAAAACAAAAGATGAGTTACACAATCGATAAGTTTAAAAAAAACTGCAAAAGTTGGGCTTTTCTACATCATGTTTTTCTACCAACAGATAAGTTATATGATGAGAATCTATTCTGTAATAGATAACAATGACAATGTCAACTACTAGTATCAATACCATTCGAAAATCTCACAGAAGCTAAGTAGAGAACAGATAGTACAAAGCAGAATGATTACTATAAATTTTTTAGTACCTACAACTAGAGCAGAAAATTTATTCCTACCATACGAAATGATCCAGCAAACTATTCTCTACGAAATAAAACGTTTCTGAGCTCTCTACAATATTATTGACTCTTCTAAACTCGCTCTATGGAAAGCAAAATCATAAATAAATACTTTATCAATGCGTTCTGGACTAGGAAATAATTCATGTTGATATCGATATTCTTCTTCCATAGTTAATAAACGATTACGTTCTTTTAATAAAACATACCTAAATAATAATGATCAAATATTCTAAAAATTTTCTCATGTTTTTCTTTTATAATTATTACCATAATTTATGTAAATCTTCATTACTTTTTAAACGTAATTCATCTACATACCACCAACGTCCTATAAAATATTTTAATTATAACTAAAACGAAACATCATATTAAAATAAAAAAGTCTACCATGAATAATTTTTGATTCCTGTAAATTATCTGTTGTATCAAAAAATTCCATAAGATTACTTTTTTTCATGGGTGTTACTTTCGTACTAACATCCGCTGATGGATCTTCTTTTGTTGGTGGAATATCAGTTGTTTGCCAGCGTATTTGTCCAATACTTCCTAAACATGATCTCACAGTAATAAATGAATATTTCTGTGAATTAATTGTCCAACGAATTATTTTTAATAGATTCATTTCATCTAAAAAATATTTTTCTTTTTCTATTATTGTAATCTAATTATTATTAGTTTGATAGGAATTTTTATTTTGCATTTTCTTATCACAATGAAATAATAGATACAGAATTTTTCTGCCTTGATAGAAGAATAAGAAAAACAAAAAGAAATTAAACTGTACATTGTATGAATATTAATGAACGATGAAAAACTTATTTTATCAATTTAGTTAACAAAAACAAAAAAAAAAACAATGCAATGGAATGCATTCATTGGAATATTGAACGATAATAAATTGAAGATAAAAAAAAAAAAGAAAAAGAAAAAACAATTGAATTAAAAAAAACAAGCTCTCTTCTTTTTTTGTTTGAAAATGAGATTGTTACAAATAAAAAAGTTTATTTGCAAGTGATACACTAAAATCTTGATGAAGACTTTGACCAACTAAAAATGCTAATTTATGAGCATATTGACAAACAGCTAAAAGAAATTATTATTTAAAATATTAAATTACAAAAATTTTCGTACCTGGTACTCGAATTGTTCCTGGCCAATTATAATATAAATGACATCTAAAATAAAGAAAAGAAAATTTAATCATTCGAAAAAAAAAATCATTCAATAAATATTTACAATTTATATGTTAATCGTTGCATATGATCAACTTTAAAATTTGTTCGATCCCAAATAACACTATAAAACAATACATATATATATATTTTTTATTTTAATGAATAGAAAACAATAAAACATACTTATAATGTGTTGGTGCAACTGTTCCTTGTCGAGCACATTGTGAGATTAAATAAAAATCATACCATTCAGCCTTAAAAAAAAAAGAAAGAACAAACATGAATATGAGATTCGAGTTTGTTTTTTTCTAATTTCTTTGATAATTTACACTTGTAACAGTATGATCAATAATAGTTCCCGGTTGAGGATTTTGTATATTACGACCTTCTTGTTGAAAAAATCGAGCATTACCACGTTTTTTTACAATAACAACAGCTAGTTTGGGTTCATAACCAGACATTATTTTTGGAAATGTTTCGATTATTTGTGGTAATTCATGTTCAGCAACAGCTGCTAATTGACCATCACTAACACCATCTCGATAAAGAACAACTAAATCAATTAAAATAAATATATATAATTATATACTTTTTATTTAATAAAATAATATTTAAAAACTTACTTTTTTCTGGTAAAGAATTATTATTTTGATAATATTCTTTTAATGCATCTATATATAAAATAATAAGTTTAGTAATACATATTGTTTTCTTTTTACCTTTCATACAAATAGCTAAACCATCCATAAGTTCTTGTGCTGTACGTTGATAAATAACACGTGAATAAAATTTTGTTAATGTTGGATTTGTTGATGCAACAAATGCACCTACTGATGCACCACGACGTTTTGAATCTAAATAAGTAAAAGAAAAAGGCTTTCAATACAATGATTTTAATATTTTTCTATAGAACGTAAGAAAATTATTTTAATTCAAAAGTCTTTCAGTGAAAAATTTTCTAAACGCTTACTCATAGTATCTTTCAAATTTAAAAAAGCAATTTTTCTCATTTACTTTTGTACCAGACAAATTATCTTCGCTTATCAGTCAAATTTCTAGTTCCGTGCATTTTTAAAAACTATCAA